GTTGCTTACAGGAAGTTTCGACTGATGTCATTGGAGATTGTATGTGTGCCTGTGTGTCTGTGTGTGTGTTTCAATCGCAGTATGGCCTTAAGGATGCAGAAAAAAAAATCCTTTCTTTCAGTTCATAGCTAGTGACTGTATCATTCTTCATGCCCAGCTAATATTTGGAAGCTCATGAGCTGATGAACCAGGCGACCATTCCTGTCTCAGTATGAAATTACCATTAAAGGGTAGCCATTTACGGAGGGAAATCAGAGATTTTTGTTTCACTCAATGTTTCACATAAACCTTTCTAAAATTCTCCTTCCCATGTTGAAGATACATGTTCAAGATCAAGATGATACTTGATATCAATTCAGAAGAAATTGTTTATTCATGACTTACAGTTTTTCACTTCAATTGATTGAAGTCACTCTCATCTAAGGGGACAAAAATTATCATATGACAAAAATAGCTCTTCCTGGGTTGAAAGGGGCCAAACTACGTGCAATGAGAACAATTCCACAAAGATTCATCGAGTTTCTGGTAGGGGAGCATTATGCTGGGTAATGCAACATTTGTGGCTTGGCTGAAATTCACAGGCGCTGTGCAACTGAATGACAAGCCACCCTTCATTTCACTTCCTTTCCTTTAACCAAGTTCATTCCATTTTGTTTTATCCCAAACAAACTAGTACTTTATGACAGGAAAATATACAAAGGTCTGTGTTTCTCTAACTTCTCCTGAGCCCCTTTTCAAAACCTGTCCTTTTCTTTGGCTTCTTTTGACACAACAGTGGTAAATTATCCAAATAATGTCTTCAAGGATGTAATGACAGACTATTCAAGGGATGCACGTTAATATGTTCTGTCTCTGTCATATACTCTAGTTCTTTTCTTCTTCCTTTTATTTGTCTATCTTCCTTGGGGAAAATTAATCTATTTTCTTGCTGGGCTCACTTTTTTATTCTCTATAGAATGTTTGGCAGGGTCCCAAATGACTTTCCTTTTCCCATCCAGACAAGATAGAGGATAATTCCAAAGCTGTGGCCCTGCTTTCTCATCCTTGAAATACAGTGTGAAACATAGGTCTGACCCTCTAAATTTAGTGACTGTTCTTGTTGGATTAAAAAAAAAATCTAATTCAACAGTATTGGCCCCTTAGCTTTCTATGAAACTTCCTCACTCCTCCTGGCCCTCTGTGGTTTCTGAGGTATTGGCTTATGCTTCCTCTCACCACCAAAAACTATCCCACAACATTTTAAAAGCCTGAGCCACTTCCTAGTTCAAAACCAGTCATAAAACCCAGTATTCCAACTTTTGTTTCTACTTTGGCAATGTGTGGCTTTTGTTCTGATCTGAACTCTGACTTACATCCATATTTTACTTCATATTAAGCATTGTTGTCTTCTTTCTTACATGGTAGAGTTGTTTGTAGAGTGTATCCAACTCAATCTTGCTGGTTTTCCTCCCACCCTCTTTCCTTAAGCCAACAAATTTCCCCAGTCCCCAGATACACAAAATTGGGAACTTGCTCACTGATCAGAGAATCAGTGTTTGCTTCATAGGTTCCCCATCTCTCTCTCTTTTAGAAGTTCTTGATTTCCTCTTCTGGCATCTTTGTATCTGCTCGCTCTATGTCAAGAGGTGAACCCAGAATAGAATGTAGAGTTTCCAGTGTCTGGTCAAGATTTTTTCCAGTACTGGTCATTTTCCTGGCATTACCAACTTCACCTCAGGAGGCAGTGACTCCTTAATAATGGTCTTTGAAAAAGATATGCTTCATAAATGCAGGAATTTTATCTGCTTTCTTTCCAGCATGTAAAACAGTGCCTGGCACCTAGTACCTTCTTAATAAATATATGAGATAATGCATACAATCCTAATGAGTTGGAGAGTTTTTAATTCAAATAGTTCATCATTTTTAAGTTTTATCATGAAAATATCTAAAGGCATTTTCATGCTGCAATATTTGACATTTTAAGTGTTCTTATGTTCATTATGAACTAAGATGTAAAAACAAATATATTTCGGCTCAGTCAGGTGAGGAGCAGATACTTCTGGAAGAATCTTTATAATGGCTGCCCAAGGACATTCCTAAGTTTTACTTAAACATGTTTTGGTTGGTGATGGTAGTACTGGTAAAACTGTATTTGAGAAATGTCAACGTCATTTGACTGGTGATTTTGAGAAGTATAAGTCACTTTAGCTATTGAGGTCCATCACCTGTGTTTTCTACCAACACTAGACCTTTTAAATTCAACGTACTGAATATACACTTGGTGGTGTGATAAATGGCTGTTGAATCCAAGCCCAGTGTGCCATTATCATGTCTGATAAGAGTATATAAGTATGCACCCAATTGGCACTGAGGTCAGAGGCCAATGTATGGAAACAACCCATCACATCATGTGACAATGTAATGACACCGGAGTTAGGCAGATAGTGTGGGTATAGAAATGCTTGGTAAAGTTTTCCTTTTAATGAAAAGCAGCGCCAAATCATTTTGCCTTCTAACAAAGAGCAGCCTGTAAAATTGAGCTGTAGACATAGGTGCCAGCAGCGGTGCCAACCATGTTCAAAATGAAGGCCCCATCTTCCCCTCTCTGCCAGCCACATGTACAGTAAGGAGCAGACAAGATGGTGCTGGCCAAGGGGAAAGTTCATAAAAAGATGAGGGTGGGGCAGCCAGCCTTCCCCGGTGCCCCTTGCAAACACCATACCCTATTAAACCAATCTCTGAGCCCTAAGTAAACACAACCTACCCAAGCCAGACTATAAAATCCAGGGCATCCACCACCAGCAGGCCTCTTACTCTCAGAACTCCCCCTCCCTGTCACTGGAGAGAGCAGTTTTCATTTCTCTTTCTCTTGCCTGTTAAACCTCTGCTCCGAAATTTTCGTGGCACCGGACAATGAAACCTGGGTATTTACCCTAGACGATGTAGCTGCTTCAGTTATGGATAGTAAAGACAGGAAAATTCAGGCAAAATTCATTGTCTTCCAATGAAACAAATATCTCTAGTACTGTGATATTTCTGCCAGAAGCAATGGCAACTTTGAAAGGTCTTCTTATTGACTTGCTGGAAAACTAACTGGCGATGTTGACTCGAAATGCATTGCTGTGTTTGTTCTGGTCCTACCAGAGGTCGTCATGGATCTACCTCTGGAAACTCATGAAGCACATGAATTAATGTGGCTTCAACAACTGTTCTCCTGAGGGGAATGATACCCTGCAAGAGAAGGTGAAGTCAGAAGCCTGTTTCATAGGTACCTGTTCTCTGATGTCTGAGATGCAGCATTTGCCACTTCATTATACTGCCAACCAAAATGTGAGCTCAAACTTTGCGATGGTAAAGGGAATAAATGTGGGAGTTTAAAAAACAAAACAAAACTTTATATTTTAGACCTCCATATTTGGCTGTTTGGACCCTAGTTGTTCCCTTCCTGAGTTTCCAATGTAAGAATGCTATAGTCACAAGACACACAGACACAAAATCACTGGGTTTCAATTTTTCTTCTGGAATTGGGACATACATGAATACAATATCCTTGGAAAAAATTCTGAATATCCAATAAGTTAGTAAATCATGATATAACTGTTTATTAATTTGAAATATATAAAAATATTGTAGTAAACTGATAAAAAGCAGAATGCAGATTAAGTATACATGTAGTCACAATTAGAGTTCAAAATTAAAAAATAAGCCAGGCACAGTGGCTCATGTCTATAATCCCAGCACTTAAACCTAATGGGAAATACATTTTCAAAAGTTAACATGGGATTATGAGTAGTTTTCTTCTGTGTGTGTGTATATTTAATTTGGTAACATTTTACTTTAATGGAGGAAAAGTAAACTGAATTGGTTAAAAATCATTAAGCATTAAAAAGTCCTTGAAAATTAAAGGAAGCATAAAAATAGCATATGATTATTAGATTACCCAGAAATATTTGTAAATGTAAGACATTGATGTATCATTTATCTATATTATGAAAAACAATTACAGGACAAACACATTATTTTAAGATGATTCTGTATAAAATGGGAATTCAAAATATGGCTTTCGGTACTTCTTAAAACTTTCAAGATCACCAAAACAAGGGAAGTCTGAGAAACTGTCACAGTTGCAAACCAAGACAACTGTACAATACTGTTTATATCCTCTTTTGGTTTATTTTCCTAATAGCCGGTTATTTCTGTGTCTTTGATCATGGCTGTGTAAAAGTAATTAATAATTTTGGTGGGTATATTTACTACTCTAACCCTCTTTTCCCAAATATTTTCCAGTCTGAATTAAGACAATTATTATATTGGGAAAAAAAATAGTTCAAATAGCTTGGCTCATTGTCCTTGCCCCGATTATTGTGATTATAAGCTATTTACTGAAATCAAATGCTATTGGCTACATGCTGGCTGTGTTACACAGTGTTCAATTTTTTTTTTGTCTTGTATTTGCATCTATTTTTGCAAGAGAAAAGAATACATTATTCTACGTTTAAAAACTAACCCAACATATTTTCTGCAGAGCTCTCTTCAGCACGTCAATTTTAAAAAATCTCTATCCTTGTTTCTTACACTGTGTTGTTCCTTCCATTCATTCATTTATTCCACAGCCATTTTTATTTTAGAGCAGTTTTAAATTTACAGGAAAAAATTACAGTTGATAGAGTTCCCACATATGCTACAGCCTGTTTGCTCTAATATTGGCATCTTACATTGGTATGGTACATTAGTTAGTTAGTTATAATAAATTAATGCTGATAAATTAGTAACTTATTTATGTATATTTTCTTTTAACAAAATGCCCTTTTCTATTCCAGGATCCCAACTAGAATACAACATTGTATTTAATTGTAATATCTCCTTAGGTTTCTCTTGGCTGTGACAGTTTCTTAGACTTCCCTTGTTTTTGATGATCTTGAAAGTTTTGAGAAGTACTGAACAGGTATTTGGTAGAATTTTCCTCCCTTGGAATTTTTTTTTTTTAATTTTGTAGCTAGACTGTGGTTATGTGTTTTAAGGAGGAATATCACAGAGGTGAAGTGCAACTGTCATCATGTCATATCAAGAGTACACACTAACAAGATGATTTATTGCTGAATATTGAACTTGATTACCTGACTGAGGTAGTGTTTACATATTTCTCTGTAAAGGTACTGTTTTTTCCTCCATTCTATACTGTACTCCTTCAAAAGAAATCACCATCCACAGTTCATACTTAAGGAGTGAGGAAGTTACACTCTATTTATTTAAGTACAGAACATCTACATAAATTATTTGAATTCTTCTTCATGGGAGATTTGTCTACTCACCAATTTACTAATTAACTCAACTATTTATATCCATATGGACTCAGGGATATTTATTTTATACCTTAGGTTATAATCTAATACCACTTTACTTATTTTGTTGCTCCAGTTGCTGTGGTGTTGGCGATTGGGGTTTCTTTGGTTTTGGTGTCCCTTTGATATGCCCTCATGCTTGTGGAGTTTTATTTTATTTGAGCACTTCCTTACTTTTTTGGTACTAAAGGATGTTCCAGGATCATCATAGATATACTCTGCCTTAGTCTTAGAATCAGCTCATTTTCCAAGGAGCCCTGACTTTATTTGAGAAAGGTATTAAAACCCAAATCTGGGTGCTAGATGTGCTTGTCACTCTTGGAGTGTTTTTGCTTCCAGACTCTTTCAGTTGAAAGAACAAGGAAATCTACGGGTATATACACATATTTATAAATATTTTTATATGTCACAATCTATGTGTTATGCTGAATATGAGTTTATAAAGGTAGTTTCAATTCGAATCTATTAGAATGCTTTTGGTCCTAATCTGGCCTCTTCTGCTTGCTTACCTGTAAAACTCTCACCCCAATCGAGAGAAGCCTAGATCTTTCCATTCACCATCTATTTACTTAATTGTTCAATTCCAATGTAGATGTGTAGTGGTATCAGAATTGTTATACCTTACATAGGCATTTATTTTTGAGTGGAGGTTTTGGTAGTCAATCAATTGCCTGAATCTGGGCTAAATATATGTATTTTTAATCATCTTCATATGTTAAATGTCATTATCTCTACCTCACAATTTAAAATTCCTGTGAGCACAAACAGATAAGTAAAGATTATGTTTGCAACTGGAAAACATAATTTTAATACTCTCTTCCTCCCCATTTTAAATACAATGAAACTTGAGTTCAGACAAGTATATACTCAAGTTCGCGCATGAGTAACCATTATAGCGTGTTGTTACTTGATAAATATCTATGTTAAAATGGTAGCACACCAGTTTTACCTGATACACCATCTTTTAAAATTCCTTTAAAAGACCGTAAAAGTACATATAAAAATATAAGAAAAATATGAATAGAAATTCTATCAATTGTAGCCCCCCAAAAATTGGACAAAGAAGTGTCCTAGACTTTTTATATATATATATTTATTTATTTATTTATATTTTAAGTTCTGGGGTACATGTGCAGATCTTGCAGGATTGTTACATAGGTATATACATGCCATTGTGATTTGCTGCCTCCATCGCCCTGTCACCTACATTACGTATTTCTTCCAATGTTATCCCTCCCCAACCTCCCCAGCCCTTCCCTAGCCCCCCACCCCCAACAGACCCCAGTATGTGAAGCTCCCCTTCCTGTGTCCATATGTTCTTATTGTTCAACACCCACCTATTGAGAACATGTGGTATTTGGTTTTCTGTTCTTGTATCAGTTTGCTGAGAATGATGGCTTCCAGGTGCATCCATGTCCCTGCAAAGGGCATGAACTCATCCTTTTTTTTTGGCTGCATAGTATTCCATGGTGTATATGTGCCACATTTTCTTTATCCAATCTATTGTTGATGGGCATTTGGGTTGGTTCCAGGTCTTTGCTATTGTAAACAGTGTTGCAATGAACATACATGTTCATGTGTCTTTATAATAGAACAATTTATAATCCCTTGGGGATATACCCAGTAATGGGATTGCTGGGACAAATGGTATTTCTATTTCCATATCCTTGAGGAACCACTACACTGTCTTCCACAATGGTTGAATTAATTTACACTCCCACCAATGGTATAAAAGCATTCGTATTTCTTCACATCCTCTCCAGCATCTATTGTCTCCAGACATTTTAGTGATCACCATTCTAACTGGCATGAGATGGTTTCTCAATGTGGTTTTGATTTGCATTTCTCTAATGACCAGTGATGATGAGCATTTTTTCATAGGTTTGTTGGCCACATACATGTCTTCTTTTGAAAAGGCTCTGTTCATATCCTTCATCCACTTTTTGATGGGGTTGTTTTTTTTTCCTGTAAATTTTAGTTCTTTGTAGATTCTGGATATTAGCCCTTTGTCAGATGGGTAGATTGCAAAATTTTTTTCCCATTCTGTTGGTTGCTGGTTCACTCTAATGACTGTTTCTTTTGCTGTACAGAAGCTCTTAAGTTTAATTAGATCCCATTTATCTATTTTGGCTTTGGTTGTCACTGCTTTTGGTGTTTTATTCATGAAGTCCTTGCCTATGCCTATGTCCTGAATGGTATTGCCTAGGTTTTCTTCTAGGGTTTTTATGGAGTTAGTTCTTATGTTTAAATCTTTAATCCATCTGGAGTTAATTTTTGTATAAGGTGTAAGGAAGGGGTCCAGTTTCAGCTTTCTGCACATGGCTAGCCAGTTTTCCCAACACCGTTTATTAAACAGAGAATCATTGCTTGTCAGGTTTGTCAAAGATCAGTTGGATGTAGATGTGTGGCATTACTTCTGAGGCCTCTGTTCTGTTCCATTGGTCTACATCTGTGTTTTGGTACCAGTACCATGCTGTTTTGATTACTGTAGCCTTGTAAGTATAGTTTGAACTCAGGTAGCGTGATGCCTCCCGCTTTGTTCTTTTTGCTTAGGACTGACTTGGCTATGCAGACTCTCTTTTGGTTCCATATGAAGTTTAAGATTATTTTTTCCAGTTCTGTGAAGGTCAATGGTAGCTTGATAGGGATAGCACTGAATCTGTAAATTACTTTAGGCAATATGGCCATTTTCATGATATCAATTCTTCCTAACCGTGAGCATGGAGTGTTTTTCCATCTGTTTTTGTCCTCTCTTATTTCCTTGAGGAGTGGTTTGCAGTTCTCCTGAAACAGGTCCTTCACATCCTTTGTTAGTTGTATTCCTAGGTATTTGATTCTCTTTGTGGCAATTGTGAATGGCAGTTAGCTCATGATTTGGCTCTCTGTCTGTTATTGTTGTATAGGAATGCTTGTGATTTTTGCACATTGATCTTGTATCCTGAGACTTGGCTGAAGTTGCTTATTATCCTAAGGTCTGCAAATAGAGACAATCTGACTTCCTCCTTTCCTAATTGAATACCCTTTATCTCTTTTCCTTGCCTAATTGCTCTGGCTAAAACTTCCAATACTATGTTGACTAGGAATGGTGAGAGAGGGCACCCTTGTCGAGTGCCAGTTTTCAAAGGGAATGCTTCCAGTTTTTGCCCATTCAGTATAATATTAGCTGTGGGTTTGTCGTAAATAGCTTTTACAATTTTGAGATATGTTCCCTTGATATCTAGTTTATTATGTTTTTAACCTAAAGTGTTGCTGACTTTTGTCAAAGGCCTTCTCTGCATCTATTGAGATAATCATGTGGTGTGGTTTCTGTCTTTGGTTCTGTTTACATGACGGATTACATTTATAGATTTGCATATGTTGAATCAGCCTTGCATCCCCAGGATGAAGCCTACTTGATCATGACAAATAAGCTTTTTGATGTGTTGTTGCATTTGGTTTGCCAGTATTTTATCGAAGACTTTTGCATCAATGTTCATCATGGATATTGGCCTGAAATTTTCTTTTTTAGTTGTTTCTCTGCCAGGTTTTGGTATCAGGATGATATTGGTCTCATAAAATGAGTTAGGGAGGATTCCCTCTTTTTGTATTGTTAGGAATCGTTTCAAAAGGAATGGTACCAGCTCCTCTTTGTACGTCTGGTAGAGTTCAGCTGTGAATCCATCTGGACATGGGCTTTTTTTTGGTTGGTAGGCTATTAATTGCTGCCTCAACTTCAGACCTTGTAATTGGTCTATTCAGGGATTCAACTTCTTCCGGGTTTAGTCTTGGGATGGTGTAAGTGTCCAGCAAGTTATCCATTTCTTCTAGATTTACTGGTTTATGTGCACAGAGTTGTTTGTAGTAATCTCTGATGGTAGTCTATATTTCTGTGGAATTGGTGATGGTATCCCCTTTATCATTTTTTGTTGCGTCTATTCGATTTTCTTCTCTTTTCTATTAGTCTGGCTATTGGTGTATCTATTTTGTTGATCTTTTCAAAAAGCCAGCTCCTGGATTTATTGATTTTTTTGAAGGGTACTATCCTAAATATCTATGCACCCAATACAGGAGCACCCAGATATATAAAGCAAGTTCTTAACAACCTACAAAGAGACTTAAACACCCACACAATAATAGTGAGAGACTTAAACACTTCACTGTCAATATTAGACAGACCAACAAGACAGAAAATTAGCAAGGATATCCAGGACTTGAACATAGATCTGGACCAAGCAGACCTAATAGACAGCTACAGAATTCTCCACCCTAAATCCACAGAATATACATTCTTCTCATCACCAGATCACACTTACTCTAAAACTGACCACATAATTGGAAGTAAATCACTCCTCAGCAAATGCAAAAGACTGGAAATCATAATAAACAGTCTCTCAGACCACTGTGCAATCAAATTAGAACTCAAGATTAAGAAACTCACTCAAAACTGAACAACTACATGGAAACTGAACAACCTGCTCCTGAATGACTACTGGGTAAATAATGAAATGAAGGCAGAAGTAAAGATGTTCTTCGCAATCAATGAGCATGCAAGCACAATGTACCAGAATCTCTGGGACGCGTTTAAAGCGGTGGCTAGAGGGAAATTTATAGCACTAAATGCCCACATGAGAAGTGAGGAAATATCTAAAATTGACACCCTATCATCACAATTTTAAAAATTAGAGGAGCAAGATCAAACAAATTCAAAAGCTAGTGAAGACAAGAAATAACTAAGATCAGAGCAAAACTGAAGGAGAAAGAGACTTTTCTCTACCTATGCAGATAGACCTCCAGAAGATAAGAATATTTGGTTTATCTTCTCTGATCATCCTAATTCTGTAATTAAGGAGCATCAATGTCTGAAAATATTCGAGATGTTTACCCAGCAATAAAATTATCAATTAAAAAATTAAAGGCAGTATAAAAATCATTAATGAGATGCCTAAATGCATTGAGAAAAAATGTTAATTGTGACAGAGAAGTTGTTGACATGGAAATTAGAGGATGGGTATTTTACCTATATAAGAAATCAAAACAGGCTGGGCATGATGGCTCATGCCTATAATCGTAGTGCTTTGGGAGGCCTAGGTGGGAAGATCGCATGAGCCCAGGAGCTCAAGAACAGCCTAGGCCAAATAGTGAGACACTGTCTCTACAACATCAAAAAAACTAGCTGGGCAAGGTGGTGTACAGCTATAGTACCAGCTACATGAGAGGCTGAGATTGGTTGATCGTTTGAGCCCAGGATGTCAAGGCTGCAGTGAGCTATGTTCATGCCACTGCATTCCAGTCTGGGTGACAGAGCAAGACACTTATGCATGTATCAGAAAAAGAAAAATGAAAAAGAGAGCAAAGAAAATGATATTTTTTCAAGTCCTGGGCAGTGTAACTGAAGTAAAAGATACAATGACTGGAACTATTATTTACCTATAAGATAACTGACTACCTAGAAATGGAAAACACACACACACACACACACACACACACACACACACACACACACTGAATAGCTCCTAGAATGCCTAAGCAGTGCACTTTACTACAATTAGAAAGATATGAAGATACAATCTTTATTAGTATAATAATAACCAGTTAGAAAGCACAATGGAAAAGTATTCCAGTGTCAATGGTGTTAGGGACTGCTCACATATTCAAGAGAAAGGCACAGATACCAAAGCAGAAAGGACAATAAACAAGAGTCCTCATGCTCAAAAGATTAGATGACACAGCTTTCAATGGGAGGGGCAGGTTTTAGACCACACTGCAGTGCTTTTCCGCCTTCTGTGCTGCCTTGAGGGAAGGCAGTGGTAATACTAATTGTTAATACTTACCTGGTTCTTATGAGGCGGACACTGTTGTAATTGCTAGATACATATTAATACACTTAACCTTACTGTAGACTTAACCCTGTAAGCTTACGAAGCTAAGTGAACCCTACACAGGATTAACCAAAGAAATCCAAATCAAAACACAACATAATTAAACTTCTGAAAAATAAAGACAAAGAAAAAATGCAGAAAGCAACCAGAGTAAATGATCTCAGCTTCCTCTTAACTACAGGGGGAAAAAAAAACTATTTGTATGACAGCAGAGTTGTCTTCAGGTAATACTCATATTATCTTCATTTTGTAGGTGAATCGACTGACTCTGGAACATTCAGGAACTTTCTCATGGTCACCCAGCTAGAGTATGGAAGCCAAGCTGTCTGATTCCAGGATCTTTGTTGTTAATCCTATGCATAAGGAAGCCATAATGAGACCATCACTATTTTTAAGATTCACAGATATTCGGGCCCAGAATGCCAAGTTTTACAGGGTTGAGGAATCAAAGCTGCAATTAGTAATAAAATGTGATGCTATCTGGAATGTTTTTCATACATATATATGCTTCTTGGGACTCTCCCTGCAGGTTAAGAGAAATTGAGAAACGATGGCAAATTCAAGTATTTTAGATCCTACATACACAAGACTTAAATATAGTAACTATATACCTGAGTATTTATAATCTTAAGAATGAACATAACATGAACCATGTGGCACCTATAAAATGAAAATAAAATACCTACAAACCAACTGAGAGCAATAAAATAAGCTTTAAGGACTTTCACTTCAGGGAGTCTGAAGTACATGCACTCCTTCCCGTTCCTCCCTCTAATTGCAGCAAGCTTGGAGATTATATACAGAACAAACAGAAGGAGCCTTAGGAAAATGAAGAGAAGGCAAGTAAGCTATGTATCTCACAACCTAAGGAATAATGTGATGAGTTACATTTGTGTTTTTTTTCTTTTTTGTCTCATATCTCATAATAAATAGTTAGAAAGCACATTGGAAAATATCCCACTGCCAATGGTGTTAGGGAACTGCCCACAAATTCAGCAGAAACACACAGATATCAAAGCAGAAAAGGCAATAACAAGAGTCTTCATGGTCAAAATATTAGAAGATACAGCTTTCAATGACAGGGGCAGGTTTTAGACCACACTGCAATGCTTTCCTGCTTTCTGTGCTTCTCACTTTAGAAGCTGAAGAAGGTGACAACCCCCAAATGCCAATATATGTAGACCAAAAACCAGCTCTAATAAAAGTCTAATAGAGTCTTTGTCTCTAGTCAAAGGACTACAATAGTGCATCCCAACAAGACAGAAAACCTTCAGACAACCTACCCCAGCCAAACACTACCAAAGAAAGGAAAAGAAAAAGTGAGCCACCACCCAATCCACATCAATAAAAACAAAGTCTAGACTTTTACCCCAAGAGGTTGCAACAAGCTACTCCTTCCCTTCTTTACTGTTTGGTGTCAAAGAAGCTCAGTACAGAGTCAGAATGTTTAGCATTACTCTTCAGTAATGAGGCCACTCCCACCATGGTGTTAGTGGAGACCATGTGAAAACCAGGATTTGTACCCTGCTCAGGAGTAATGAGAAGACCCCTCTACAGAAGGCTCAGAGAGGAACATGAACTTCTACCTCTCTCTGCCAGTAATAAATTAGGGCCTCACTTTCCCTTGCTGAGCAATGTCAGAAAAACTAGCTGAAGTAAAAGCTTCTTTCTTTATATGTATTTTTGGAGACAGGATCTTATTCTGTCACCCAGGCTGGAGTGCAGTGGCATAATCAGGGCTCAATGCAGCCTCAACCTCCTGGGCTGAAGAAATTCTCCCACCTCAGCTTCTTGAATAGCTGGGACCACAGGTGTGCACCACCAGACATAGCTAACATTAACATTTTTTTCTGGAGATTGTGTTTTCCTATGTTTCCCAGGCTGGTCTGGAACACCTGGGCTCAAGTAATCCTCCCACAGGCGTCAGATTACAGGTATGAGCCATCACTCCAGGCTGAAGCTTTAATAACCTGAAACTCATATTATAAAATGTCAAAGGTTCAGTCAAAAGTTATGTGTTATCAGTGGACAAGATCTCAAACTGAATGAAAAAAGACAATAGATGTTAACACTGAGATGACAATGTTGTTAGAATCACCTCACAAAGATTTTAAAGCAGTTATAACAAAAGTGCTACCACAAGTGATTATAAACATACTTGAGACAAATGAAAAAATGCTACAAAGCTCAGAAAAGAAATGCATAAAGAAGAATCAAATAGAAATTATAAAACTAAAAGATACCATAACTGAAATGCAGAGCTCCAGGGATGGACTCAAGAACAGAATGGAAAAGACCAAGGAAAGAAGTAGTATACAGCAAGTTAGAAAAATAAACTAGAAGAAATGAACAAGACCCTGTGCTTGTGACACTATAATAAAAGAGAAAATATTTATGTCATTGGATTCCAGGAAAGAGAAGGAAATGAAAAAGTACTTAAATAATGGCTTTAAGACTTTTCACACTTTGCAAAAATTTACAATTTGAGAAGCTGAGAAAACCTCAAACAGGATAAACCAAAGACACTCACACCAAGAAACACAGTAATTAAACTTCTGATTAAGAAAGAAAAAGAAAAATCTGGAAAGTAGCAAGAAAAAGAATGACACACTTTCTATATGGTAAAAAGAATTCGAATGACAGAAGATTTTTCATCAGAAACTGTAAGGACCATGAAGAAGTAACATATAATTTTCAAGTGCTGAAATAAATCAACTGTCAATACAAAATGCTCTACCCAGTGAAAATAACTTTGAGGAAAAAAGGGAAATCAGGACATGCACAGACTTTTTTTTTAATTAAGAATTTCTTATCGGCATATCTCCCTGAAAGAATGACTAACATTCTCCAAACATGCAGAAGTTTCAGTTAGACACAATGAACACAGTAAGCAAAATGTAGGTCAGTACACTAAGTTTAATTTCTCCTTTTGAATTTTCTAAATTATGATTTATAGTTGAAGCAAAAATCAAAACATCTGATGTATATGTAGAGGAAAAATTGAAGACAGTTATGCTATAAATGAGAAAGGGCAAAGGAACATGAGATAACCACAAATATGACACATCAATAGACTATGACAAATTATGTGCCTATAATGTGATTACTACAAAAAAGTTAAAAGATTGGCAGAGTGAATTTTAAAAACATGACACACTATATGCTGTTTACAATAAACTCACTTCAAAAATAATGCCATAGGTTGAAATTAAAAAGAATAAAATAGGATGCAAACCATCAAAGAAAGCAGGAATGGCTATCTTAACAACATTAAAGTCAGCTTCACAACTAAGGAAATTATCAGAGAGGGACACTACTTAATGAAATGGTCGACTTACCAAAAGAACATAGCAATCATAAATGTGCATGTAGCAAACAACAAGGCTGGAAAATATGTGAAATGAAACTGATAGATCTGAAAGGAGAAACAGATAAATCCATTCATTATAGCTGTGGGCTTTATCACCCGTCACTCAACAATTGATAGAACAACTGGACAAAAAATCAATAAGAATATGAAAGAACTCAACAACATGAGACAATAGGATCTAATTGATGTTTACAGAACATTCCAACAACAGAATACATGTTCTTCAAGTGCTCACAGAACAACGTATAAAATAGACCCTGAACCATAAAACAAGCCTCAACAAATTTAAAAGAACTGAAATACTACATGTGTTTTCTCCAACCACAAAAGAATCAAACTAGAAATCATAATAGTGATAATGGGAACATCTCCAAACACTTGAAAACTGAACAACAGTAGTTTTATAACCCATGGTCATAAAGGAAATCGCAAAAGAAATTTTAAAAATGCACTGAACTGAGTGAAAATTAAAACAACATAAAATTTATGGGACACATAAAGCAGAACTGATGGGAAAATACATAGCACTAAATGCTGGAAAGTCTTCCATCAATAACCTAAGCTTCCACCTTAAAAACCTAAAAAAGAAGGAAACTAAACCTAATGCCAGCAGAAAGATGCAATAACAAAGGGTAGAAGCCAATAAAATTGAAGACAGAGAAACGCTTCAGAGAAGAATAAAACAAAGAGTTGGTTCTTTGAAAAGATCAATTAAATTAACAAACCTCAAGCAAGACTGTCAAAAGAGAAGACTTACCTATACTAAAGTGAAATGTGATATCACTACCAATACTCCAAACATCAAAACGATGATAAGCAAATACTATGAACTGTACAGATATAAATTTGACAATTTAGACAAAATATTTCCCTAGAAAACACAAACTACAACTTATGCAATATAAAATAGACTATTTGAATAGCCTTATAAGTACTAAAAAAATTAAACTCATTATTTAAAAATTTCTAAAAAGAAAGTCTTCAGGGCCAAATGGTTTCCTTCAGAATTCCACCAAATAGGTAAAGATTTAATTGTAATTCTATTCAATCTCTTTCAGAGAATAGAAGAGAATATTTTCCAATTCATTTTAGGAAGCTAGTATTACCCTGATGCCAAAATGTGTGCTACAAATAGATAAAATTATATACCCCTGCATATTAAATAAAATTTCATAATAAATATTATAATACTTGGATAATGAATGAGAGCATAACAAAAAACCAATGATCAGTATCTCATGAATAGAGACACAAAAGATGCTTCACCATATATTACGACATAGAATTCAGTAATACACGAGACTTATATACCATGACCCAATAAGACTTAGGCCAAGAATGGAAGACTGGCTCAATATTTAAAAATCAATCAATGTAGTATAACTTTAATAACTAATGAAGAAATGTCATATTAATACTGAAAAAGGACTTGACGAAATTCAACACTCATTTATGAAAAAAAATGCCCAGAAAAATAGGAATTAAAGGACACCTACAAAAAAACTTTCAGCTAACATAATTCTTAATGGCGAATGATTGAATGTTTTCTTCCTGAGCTTGAGAAAAAGGTGAGGGTGTCATCCCTAATGACTCTTATTCAACATAGTGCTCAAAGTCCTATGAAGTACAATTAGGCAATAAAGGGAAAGCAATGACAGGTAAAAAGAAGAAATAAAATTATATTTGAAAAAGTGTGATTGTCTACCTAGAAAATCTCAAGGAAAACACTATTAATATACAGGACAATCTGAATCAATCTTTAGAGAATTATGCTGCATGAGAAAAAGCCAATCCCATACTATGTAATCCCATATTCTTGAAGTGACAAAATTATAGAAATGAACAGATTAGTGGTTGTTAGGAGTGAGGGAGTATGGGTCAGAGATACGAGTTGTGGATATAAAAAGGTAATCTTAGGGATCCTTATCGTGATTGAAATGTTCTGTATCTTGGCTGTATCAATGTTGAATCTCTGGTTGTGCTATGATTCTATAATTTTGCAAGATGCTATTGGAGAAAACTGGGTAAATGGTGCCCAGGATCTCTCTATTATGTCTTACTGATTATGTGGTTTGTAATGATCACAAAATAACAAGGTTTAATTTTTTTTAAAAAGGATTAAATAAACATTATATAGCACACACCTGAGTAAAAGACAAAATTTAGCTAAGGATTATTTTTGTCCTGATATGCAAATTTTGTACAACATAAATCACAATCCCCTAAAATCTATATTTTAAATTGATAAGATGTAAAACCTGTGTATTACAAAATAAAAGATGAACAAAAATTATAAAACACTAATTTGAATAAGAAATACCCTAGTGCCCCAATGTATCAGAAGGCAAACACATGGA